TTGTAAAAAGACTTAGAATGAATTCAATAAAAATTACAAGTTAATTCCCAAAGATTTCCATGAATTCCAAAAGAAGTCAATGAATTCCACCCATGTATTCCGTGAATTCCAAAAGAATTCCATGAATTCCAAAAGAATTCCATGAATTCTAAAAGAGTTCCATGAATTCTAAAAGAGTTCCATGAATTCTAAAAGAGTTCTATGAATTCCAAGAGGTTGTACACCAGAATTCCACAGTGGTTTCCTCTCGTATAATCCTAGAAGGAAATTTAACAGGGGAATTGTATGAGAATTTTTTGGAAGATATTTGGGGTCAAGTGTAGGACAAGGGGGGCATGCTCCTAGACGAAGAAAATTTGCACTTTCAGCAAGCTGGGACTCCGTCGCATTACGCTATGACTGTTAGTCACTGGCTCAACAGAGGGTATCCTGGTAAATGGATAGGCAGAGGGAAGAGTGCAAATTATAATTTGAAAGAGGGGGCATCTGGAAGGGGAACATTTCATTTTTAATTAAAAGAAGCTGAAACATGAACAGATAGAGACGGATGGAGGAAGAAGAGTGGTTAATAAATACCTTTCATGATCTATTTCGGTGGAAAAACGTCCAAATTCTATAAATTGCTGCCACCGCACCGAGGCGAATTTTGCACATTTTTGCTCCATGATTGGATGCAATTTGGAAACGATATAAGTGCTGGTTTTTCATACTAACAGGTATAAAAGCGATAAGGGAATGGAGAGAGAAAGTGAAAGACGAAGAAAACCTTCAAGAAAAATGAAGGGGAGAGAAGGAATATATACAACAGAGAAAAAATGAAATAGGTAATTAATAAAATAGAAAATATGGTAGATGAAAGGGAGGACGAGCGGCTAATATTGGGGGATATTTAAATGACAGAACAGGGAATGAAGGAAAATGGGTAGAGATGGGAGAGTAACACAAGATAGGAAGTCAAGAGATGAAGAATGCAACAAAGAAAGGGGATTGTTATCGGAATTAACGGAAAAGATGGGATAGAGAATATTAAACGGAGATATGGAGGGAGACAGGGACGGGCAGCAATTCACGTACATGGGAGGAAGAGAGGGAGGTCAGTAATTGATTATAGAATAGTAAATGAAAAGGTACTGGAAGAAATAGAAGAATTTCAGGTGGGACGGAGGATAGGATCGGACCACCAATCGAGGGAAATGAATCTAAAAGAGAGAAAAAAAATCAAGAAATGGAGAGACGCAAAGACAAAGGGAGATACAGATATGGACCAAAGACATTGTGTTGACTTATAGAATGAGACTAGAGGAACAAAAAGAGAAAAAGAAATAGAGCACAGAGGAGTGGTGTAAGGCAATAACAGGGAAACAGGTAAAGGAATTGGAAAGGTGAGATAAAAGAAAGGGTTGGTGAGGCAGAGAGAAACAGATACAGAACAATGATGGAAAAAGAAAGAGGTCAAGGAGAAGGAGTTGAAAGAACAGAAGAAAGGACAAGAGAAAATGTAAAAAAAAGATGAAGAAACAGAAAGAATCGAAGAAGAACTCATAGAAATAAAAGTAAAGAAAGACTAAAGAGAGAAAAACGGAAAAAAACATAAGTGGGGGAGGACTAGAAACAGTACTTACAAGGAAAGCAGGAGAAAGAGATCGTGATAGAGGAAGATGGATGTAGATTGTGTAGATAAAGCGAATTTTTTAAGCGACAATCTTTCCGCCCTTTGGGAGCACCCTCCTGCGACACTCCGTTATGAAGATATTTGCATTGAAAGTTTTGATCTCAACAGTAGATATGTCTCGTCATGATGTTCCATTTGCCCTTCATGAGTACCCTCTACCGACACTTTGCTTTCAAGATATTCGCTTCGACTTCACCAATAGATATGTCTCGTCCAGACGATTCATTTTGCCTTTGTGAGTACTTTTCTCCGACAAACCGTTTTTGTGACAAACTTGTGACATCACCAATCAGTATCAGTATTCCAGACCTCCCAATCGCCCTTTGTGAGTACCCTTTCACAATGTGTTCTTGAGAAATGAGGAACTATAACCCGATCACGATAAGGGGTCGAGGAAGATAATTATGTTTGGTAGAAATTAATTCATTTCGTTGAGATCCTTTACCATGATCGATAAAACAAGTTTCTCTGGTAACTCCCACTCGTACTAACTTTTTCTGAATACAAAACAAACAATTTTTAAAACTTTCCACAAACTTTTCTTTTATTAAAGTTGCGTAACTTCTTCTGCGCACTTTATTACGGAAAGGCCGAGACCTTACGTAAACAAATTTGCACGCTGTTTATCGTCGCGGGCAAAACTAATACCTAACAGCAGGAACCTCGTTTTTAAGTTGATTCCAAGAGAACTCCATTTCCACTATAAGATAATCTCCTTCAGAATTTTCAAAAATCACCGCCAATCACAATATTAGACTTGATAACACCAGATTCAAAGGAACGAGTCTCTACTTACGCCGGAAATAACACGCACAGAGTAAAACACGTTATCTCTTCTAACGGCGATAAGAACACGTGCCGTAATTAAATTTCACCCGATAAGACTTCTTATCGCAAACGACCAGATGTAACCTTTTTTCAAATAACGCAAACTTGTTCAAATGTGTCTAACCTAAAGCAAGTAAATTTCAAAAGCGGTAACATTTAAAGACGCAAATATATACACTTCTAAAAGCAGAAATAGACACTGACATAACAAATTCAAATACACTAAAGCAATCAATTCGGAAGTAATCACTCAGATTAATAGGAAGTTGAAATATTCTCATGTATACAAGTTGTCCCGTCATTATTTTTATTATTTAGACATTTCGTTAACGGATGAGTGCAGCGGGTGGTAGAAAACAGTAGAAGTAAACTCAATCCCTCGTGGTCACTCACTGATCTCGAAAAGGAGTCGCGTAGGAAAGTTATCGTTTTTATAAACCAATTCATTTCTATAAGACCTTTAATTAGGATACCTTGAACCACCGGCTCGCCCCCACATTTTCATAGTTTTACTGAGAACCACTAAAGGCATGCGTATGCAAAATCTGAGCCCAATTGGTTGTCGTCGCATGTAAAAGTTATGTAGCGTAATTTCATGGCCGTCTGGCACACCTTGAGGGTATCGATCGGGTACTGATTGCAAAAAGTTACAGGACCCTAGGACCCTAAAAATAGTTCAAAACCGCAGAAAACAATCCGGACAGACGGACGGACGTACGAAACGCAAACAATAGCTCATTTTTTAAAATTTTTAATCGATGGTAATGGGATTTGTGAGGGGGGGGGGGTTGAATGAAAGTGGTGGAAGGAAAGAGTAGAGGAAGTACGAACATTTAAGTACCTATTTAAGATACCAGATGCAAGAAAATAATGGGGTAGACGCATAAGGGAATTAAGAAAGAAGACACGAAGAATCGCACACGATTTCCAGTAGGGGAATTTTTTTCCACTCAGCTCGTATTCGAAAACCAGACTTTTGATCCGGCTCATATTCAATAGCACTGATTCTTGAACTCGTAGAAATCGATCGGCGAATTGCAAGCGGAACAGACGGACAGACGGACGTCATCACATAAGCGAAATATTCCCCTAAAAAAACATTTGGCGATGAAATCGGTGTGGGGAATAGGGGAGAGCCGCAGGGAATGGGAAAGGAGAGGGGAAGAAAGTGAATTTGTGAAAGAATGATTGTCAACGATGGTGAACACAAAAGGAAAATGGTGGGAACAAAGAAAAAGAATATTATGAAAGAAACCTGCTCATGTAATGCCACCCAAAACTGGCAGAAATAACCAGGCGCAATCGTGTTACCGGCGTTACGTTAGTATGGGTGCCAAGCCATGAGGGGTAGTCAGTAACGAGGAGGCTGGTCATCTCACTAAAGCCGGCCAAACATCCCCAAATTGGACCGGGGCCCTACTGTGGGGCACCAGAAAGTCTAGCTGGAGGTGTGAGATAAAAAGGCAGTTCAGAAAAGAGTGGGAACGTCTAGGAGACTAAAACCAGCTCGTTGTTGCTAATGTCATACATAGTCTTGGTCACTGGACACTGCCCCCGGAGATGAGGACAACACATTTCTCCTCTGCTTCGAGGAGGGCGAGTCCGCATCATCTGCTGGTGTGGGGATGTTTCCGGATAGAGATCAGATGATCTGGGTGAGGTTATAATAGCACCTCAGCAGATCAGAGAGTCGCAGCCGGGGAGGACCCTCAGATTTTTTAACAACCTCCCTCTTTCGGAGTAGAACAATAGGGCCGAGGGTAAAGGTGCGTAGCCATGGTATAGCCCAATCCAAGGAGGAAAAAAACGGATACGAATGGCCAGAGGTTGAAAGAAGGAGAAAATTACTACTGGACGATGGAAAAGAGGAGAAAAACGGATGAAGAGGGTAATAGAAGAAAGAGAAGAAATGCAAGTTGTTGCCATGGCAATTAACTGTCACACAAGTTTAAATGGCACAAGGAGTAGTTCTGCTGGCACATTTTTCGAGATAGGCAATCATAATACAGTCTGGCACTGGCTATGACTTCAATGAATACCAGCGCGGGTGATTTTATTTGGAACATTATTAGTGCAAGGGAAGGGGAGTCACCTTTCAGCGACACTAGAAATTGCCTTCTTTGACGACAGATATTGAATATATCCGACTTAGTGGAGGAACGTTTTGAAAGTTCGCAGTGGCCAAACTCTGCGGGACCCGTACCTTAGATAATGGCCATAAATAAACTTTCTTTAAGATTGTGTAACCCGAAACCGAACTTTTACTACTCATTTTTCCACTCCTTTCCTAATAAAAATTTGAATACCGCCGATAAAAATCTTCAGCGTGCTCTTGTTAGGCAGACACGCGTGAATTGTCACCTACCGTGAAGAATACGATCGGACGCAGTACCGGCCCAATACAATCTCTAGATAATTAGAATTTACGCCTTTTCATTTAAAACTGTCGTATATTTATTACCCCATCAGAAACCGAAATTAATTAGGACTCTCCTTTCAGTTTCAGGGCTTGCCTGAAAATGGCGGACACGAGCGACGCCAATCTCGTCGGGAAGCTCTTCTTCAACATAATCCAGACCAAGTGTTTCGTCCTGAAACCGAAAAAGTATTGCGCGAAGAGATCGTGGTGGGGCAAATGCACAAAGACCAAGTACACGAAGCAGGCGATTATACGTGATAATTTAGCGTATTAATTAATTAGGCGAACGAATTAGCTAAATTTTGAATGTGAGGCAATAACGCACACGTTTTTTTTTCTAATTTTCCGTACTTTGTACTTATTTCAAGCGAAATGTATATTATGTTTATATGTAAGTAACAGCGGCTCCTATTTTTGTATAGTATAATATTTTTGTAACATATTTACTTAATTGGTATTTTTGCAATATTTATTTTACGTACGTAATTTTTAAGTTTTGTGATTTTTGTGTCAAGATGTACTGTGTAAAATGTCACGGTTCCAATCAATCTTGAAACTTGTTGAAATATGGCATCCGGCATGTCACGGCGGTATGTTAAAGTCATGCAATAAACGTTCAGCAAAACATCACACTTGTCTAATAGCACATGAGCAATTCTGGACACCTTTTAGAAGTAGGGCAGAATTTGGTGCCGTTTTTCCCTTAGTCATACCCCACACGCAACACACCGACGTACATTAAACGTCCATTGTATGAACATATATGGACCTTCTGTATCAACATAGTAAGTACGCGTATATATAGAATTTGTACAATGGACGGCCATTGTAGGTCCAAATGTCAACGATATGGACAGTGTACGTACGTACCTACTGTACGTCCTATGGACGTTCGTTACCAGTCATTTTATTTCACTAGATTAACAACTACTTTGAAAGCGATATCTATTCAAAAACTGTTAAAACAAGCGGGATATAAAGTAATGTAAGTAGATACTCAAAAATTCACTTCCTGTCCTTTGCCCTTTTAAATGGCTCTGTCGAATTTGTGCGCGCCATAATTGCATTGTCATTATTTTATGGACCACCCGTTAAATATTCCATAAGTGGGAACCATCGGACGTCCACTGTACGTACACTTTTTCTACATGGACGTCGTAACGTAAAATGGATCAAATATGGACGTCCAATGTAAGGACTGTGTTGTGTGGGACCACACCTCAAAAAATTCTCCAGTTGTTTCATTAGAAAGAGTCATTAGGCTTCAAAAAACCACGCTACTGCTCTTTTAGGGTTGCCATCTGAGCCAAATTGGTGGCAGTTGAGGTCTGTGCTCTTTCAGGGAAGAATGGACTTACGTCCACACGCACATAGGTTTCCCTAGTCGTCCTGTCCACGGATGCACCTTCCGCATTCTCCCTGGAACAAATTGAGAAACACGAGAGTTCTTTCTGCCATCCAGTATGGTCAGCCGCCTGATTGTCTCAACTAGAACTCGACAGCAATCTACTTTGTCTCTTCTGTGTCTTCATTTGATTGCAGTCATAAGGCTTCCCTCAGGGTATGATCCTGCACATGGACAGTAAGTGAACGCAGACCCAGGTGCCGTGGGGCTAGTCCTGGTAGTCCCCATGGAACCTGTGCACGCAAAGTTTTCGCACGTGGTCTAAAAATGCATTCGTGCAGATTGCGAGTATTTGACTCGGAATCCAGATAAGACTAGGCGGTCACTAGGCAAGATATTCTTGTGCAAGAGCCAAGAACCCCTAAAAGCAAAGCTCCTGGACTGGACAAAACTCACGGAAACGTACTAAAAGCGTTGCTGGACCCTTCCTGACATTCTCATCGAACTAATCAGCGCCTGTATAACATTCGGTTACTGATAACTTTTTTACTCGAAATTGGAAAGCTATTCGAGAGAATTCTTCTCCAAAGACTGCACGAGCAAGTTCCACCTGTGACCTGAACGACTTTTCAATCTCAATCATTATGGCTCTATCCGCGGACAAAAGTCGACCGACTGTGTGCAAGGACTCGTAAACAACCCCAGGATGAATGCTCGTAGGTATTTGTTGGCGATGTTCGTCGAAATTACTGGAGCATTGAACAACACGTACGCTAAAGCAGAAGAGCCAGAGTAAAATCCTATCCTTTTCGTTGTTGGGTTTAGTAACAATTATTTTGAGGTATTTTTATGTATAATCAGTTTTATTTATAAACTATTACGGTAACTCCTGCCCAAACGAAGATCAGGATCCTATTCCTACCCTCGACTTTTGGTCACGCTATGGAGATAAACCGTTAGGTAGGTGCGTCATACGAAAAACACTTTTACCCAGTGTTTCAGTTACTCTATCTGCTATGGAGTCTGCTTGGCCAAGACAAGCTAGGCACTTCTTTCCTTAATTCTTGGTTCTAGGCCACTGCGTCAATCACGGTTAAATACGAGCCTGTCTGACGCACTTCAAACACGAGGTCGCCTTCAAGATGTAAGAACAAAACGCAGACATCGATTACTCTTCCAATTAATTAATTAATTGTTTCGTTTATTATACCCCAAGTTAGTTGTTTATTTAACCGTATGAAAGCCAAAAAGGAATTAGAAATATAAAGTAATAAGCGCGGTTAGAAATGCAATTTTATTTTAGATGTAAATAAAGACAGATAATACTACATGTGTACATTCAGGATGAGTTAAATGAAGCGGGTCATTGTAATTAATATAAGAGCAAGAAGGGCGCGTTAAAGCACGTCTATAGTAACTGAATTTGGAGTGACAGGAAGTTTGCGATAGCGCGGAGTGAAGTATTTAAACCATTTCACGTTGTAAGATTGGGTCAGATTTGACTACGTGAATATCTATAAATAGAAGATTGTATGCGGTGTCGAACCTGCGTTTGTGCATTTTTCAAGTTATTCCTTCCATTGATGGGTGGATCTCGAAGAATGAAATTAAGCCAACAGCGAACCATCGCCTACATCGTCACTTTCACGCTATGAATAAAGAGTTTCGCAGCAATTCCAAGAAAGAAGATATAAGAAAATAATCAACGTCGGAACATCAACGAGAATTCTGTAGCCGGTCCGTGCGTTCCCTATCATACCCAAGCCCAGAGGGTAGAATTAAGAATTACATAACAAGAATCCCCTTCCCCCCTTCTATTCAGGCAAGTTCTCGATTTTCAATTGTAATTTCGTTAATAGTACTACCGAGTTTGTGAAATTTGTATCGAACGCTCTTTAAGTAGGTTCGCATCGATTCTGAGAATTTGGCACCTGGGAGAATTCGTTTGGCGGCTGGGGAGCGTCGAGGTGCTCGGGCGCGGATAAAAATTCGCCATTTCCGTAAGGTTGGAGTTAGGACGTTCGGGCGCCGTTTCGGGGGGTTTCGATAATTGGCGCAACTTTCGGCGAGGTTAAGAAAATTGCTCCTGCGACCTACGGGGTAGCTACCATAAGAAGCGAAAAAATCGAAAATGTTAGAAAAAACGCTACCGGATATCCTTTTGCGGTTTTCGGGAGATTGAGGGGGACGTGGAGGAGCGTATTCGTGCGGCGGTAGCATTCTGGGGTTAACTAGAATTTGGAAACGGCGCGACCCGGAGCGCCAAACTCGAAAAGGGGGTTTTTCGCATTTTTTTACGCGCCGTAACTGCCGTTTTAATTAATTTGGAGCTTAATTTGGACGGAGAATTTCGATTGAGGTCTCAAAAATTCGAGAAAAGTACGAGGAATGTGTTAAAATCGGTTTCGGGACAGGCAGATTATATAGATATATAAATTAAGATATAGCAAGATTAACCAGAGCTAGGATGGAGGAGAGGAAGTAATTTGTAACATCCGTTACAATCTTCTATTTCAGTAACGCTTTTGGAAGACGAGTTTTTAGAAACAATGGCATCTAGGCACTACCTATACTATACCAAGGTTGTTTTATTAGAAAGGGTGTCTGGTAACTCTAAACCAATAGAATGCTTGCATTTTGAAGGCGAGAAAACGTCATCCAGAATTCACATTTAAAATTGCTCATAGGTTACAATGCTAATAAAAGGGGTAAAAAATTTAGTTTTTGCAGTATATTTTTGGATTTATATGGGTATATGTATATAAGGGTGGATTTTATATTGGAAATCTTGGAAGTTTATCGACCTCCACATTTGAAAGCAATCAAAGTATTGAAAAAACGAGTGTTGTGCGTAAGCTATTTTACATTGCACGAGGACTTGTGAAAATGTAATCAAATTCATTCATTAATTTTATAGGTGGAAATGGATAAAATTCAGCGATCTACAAAATAGGAACCACCCCTATGTATTAGTACCTAGGCTTTGGGAATTAAAACTCTAAACATTCTTTAGCGGATGACGCTTTTGCGTTTTATAGAATATGTATATTTATAGTATGTACAAAATGGTAACCGAGGTGCACACGGCGAGCTCTGTCGTTGGGGTGAGCCCAGATGCAGGTCTTCTGACTGATGGAGTGTGGCGCGAGGTCGAGCTGGCAAGGCGACCTGGTTCTGCAGGTGGAAAGCTTTTTGTTTCTTGAAGTGCAGTCGAAGCAGAAATTGCGTTGCACTTTGCAGAGTTCATGGCTCTGCTTTTAAACGTTTGCGGCCAGGGACGCTAACCTTTCATCCGTTGGCCGTTTTGACCAATGGGAGCCCAGCACATTTTAGTTTGCTGCCGGATGTGAAGCATTTTCTTACCTATTCTTTAAAAACGGTAGGGTCTTTGGGAAACGTAAAAACTGAGATTTTATTTACACCAGGATGAGGAATTTTATTGTTACCGCCACTCATCTAAAAATAGTATATTATATACCGCGGGACTGAAGTAGTACTTTTAATCCCGAAGGTAAAGTTTATAATTTACCTGAGGGATTAAGACCACTACTTCAGTCGCAAGGTATATATACGATATTTTTCCTACTTCCGAAACTGAAACACTATATAATTTGGAAACTGTCATTGCTAGTGTCATAATTTTGGTGGTGGGTGACAAAGGTGTATTTGATATTGATCAAAAGCAGCCAAAGATAGGTAAAGAATTGATACCACCGAAATTCAAAAAAACTATATGAGCAGCAGTACGATGCGTTTAAGAAGTAGTGCAGCATACAAATTGTGGAACAACCTACTGAAATTGCCTTGTTAGTAATTTCATCCTTCCGGGATTTTCGTCCAAATTTAATCCCGGCGGGACAAAAAGTGACACTTCAGTACTTGTCATAATGGAGTGAAGTTGTCACTTTAGTCTCGGAAGTACGAAAAATACTTAATTATAACATACAAAAGTGCATATAATTGATGAACTAACCTTTCAATCACGGCTATGAAAACACACAACATTCACAAACTAAATGTCTTTATATTGCACCACACAGGTATCTACAGCTAATATATATCCTTATGGCTTACTACATTAATTTTTCTTATACTGGATGAAATGTATTAGTTTGATACCTAGTTTGATACATACAGGGTGCTACATTTCTGTTTTGCAAAAAAAAACTTGTTTTTCAAATCAGCCGAGAGTTGCAAACGTTTCGTTTGGAAGCTCTCCTTATGCATTCCTTTCAAATAATTTCCCGAGAACCATAAATCATCATAAGAGACCCCTTTGGATAAG